GGTCACCACCAAGATCTATCCCTGCATTATTAGCCTCAGCAAAGCTTTTCATTGAAGACTCAAGTTTGACCCTGACGTGAGTTGAACGCACAACCTTCTGATCTGGAGTCAGACGCCCTACCATTGCGCCATAAGGTCATTCTTGTCTTTGAGAGGTGGCACTCCATTGACAAAATTGTTAAGCATAGAAATGTCATCTTAAATTTTGTTTGATAACAGGATGAAAACAGGTTCAAATGTCCCCCATTAATGTATCTAAATTAACCAACATTGGTGTTGGCATTTAATTATTAATTGAATAAGTGTGCAGAGTTTTGTTCAGTGAAAGGACTGTGGGAATTCTTGGCAGGCCACTGGGGTGGTGATTGAGGTATCAGAGGGTCTATAGCCACCTGTGGTCACCACCAAGATCTGTCCCTGCATTACTCTTTTTATAATCTTCATAATTTTCCTCAGCAAAGCTTTTTGTTGAAGACTTAAATTTGACCCTGACGTGATTTGAACACGCAACCTTCTGATCTGGAGTCAGACGCCCTACCATTGCGCCACAAGGTCATTCTTGTCTTTGAGAGGTGGCACTCCATTGACAAAATTGCTAAGCATAGAAATGTCATCTTAAATTTTGTTTGATAACAGGATAAAAACAGGTTCAAATGTCCCCCATTAATGTATCTAAATTAACCAACATTGGTGTTGGCATTTAATTATTAATTGACTAAGTGTGCAGAGTTTTGTTCAGTGAAAGGACTGTAGGAATTCTTGGCAGGCCACTGGGGTAGTGATTCAGATATCAGAGGGTCTATAGACACCCCTGGTCACCACCAAGATCTATCCCTGCATTATTAGCCTGAGCAAAGCTTTTCATTGAAGACTCAAGTTTGACCCTGACGTGAGTTGAACACGCAACCTTCTGATCTGGAGTCAGACGCGCTACCATTGCGCCACAAGGTCATTCTTGTCTTTGAGAGGTGGCACTCCATTGACAAAATTGTTAAGCATAGAAATGTCATCTTAAATTTTGTTTGATAACAGGATGAAAACAGGTTCAAATGTCCCCCATTAATGTATCTAAATTAACCAACATTGGTGTTGGCATTTAATTATTAATTGAATAAGTGTGCAGAGTTTTGTTCAGTGAAAGGACTGTGGGAATTCTTGGCAGGCCACTGGGGTGGTGATTGAGGTATCAGAGGGTCTATAGCCACCTGTGGTCACCACCAAGATCTGTCCCTGCATTATTCTTTTTATAATCTTCATAATTTTCCTCAGCAAAGCTTTTTGTTGAAGACTTAAATTTGACCCTGACGTGATTTGAACACGCAACCTTCTGATCTGGAGTCAGACGGGCGACCATTGCGCCACAAGGTCTTTGGTGCTGTCAAGAGGTGGCACTTCATCGAGAAAATTGTAAAAGCACACAAAATATTAAGCACTTAAAAATGATCACTGAGCACACAGTTTTATTTAACAAGGATTAAACATTTGTATCTAATAATTAACATACTTGTGCTTTCAGTTGAGAATTTGAAATGTTTGAATTTCAAATGTTTTTTGAAATGTTTGATTTGAACATGGAAAAAATTAAAGTAGTTTTCTGTTAGTTTTGGAAAACTCAACTATCCCCAACTAAAAACTACTTTTAAGTTAGTTTAGAAAACCAGGTTCAAATGTCCCTAAAATTCTTTTTAAATCAACCAACATTGGTGACTAAGTGTGCAGAGTTTTGTAAAGTGAAAGGACATAGGGATGTAGGGATTCTCGGGCAGCCACTGGCGTGGTGATCAAATATGAGAGGGGCTATAGCCACCCCTGGTCAGCACCAAGATCTATCCCTGCATTATTAGCCTCAGCAAAGCTTTTCATTGAAGACTCAAGTTTGACCCTGACGTGAGTTGAACACACAACCTTCTGATCTGGAGTCAGACGCCCTACCATTGCGCCACAAGGTCATTCTTGTCTTTGAGAGGTGGCACTCCATTGACAAAATTGTTAAGCATAGAAATGTCATCTTAAATTTTGTTTGATAACAGGATAAAAACAGGTTCAAATGTCCCCCATTAATGTATCTAAATTAACCAACATTGGTGTTGGCATTTAATTATTAATTGAATAAGTGTGCAGAGTTTTGTTCAGTGAAAGGACTGTGGGAATTCTTGGCAGGCCACTGGGGTGGTGATTGGGGTATCAGAGGGTCTATAGCCACCCGTGGTCACCACCAAGATCTGTCCCTGCATTATTCTTTTTATAATCTTCATAATTTTCCTCAGCAAAGCTTTTTGTTGAAGACTTAAATTTGACCCTGACGTGATTTGAACACGCAAACTTCTGATCTGGAGTCAGACGCGCTACCATTGCGCCACAAGGTCTTTGGTGCTGTCAAGAGGTGGCACTTCATCGAGAAAATTGTAAAAGCACACAAAATATTAAGCACTTAAAAATGATCACTGAGCACACAGTTTTATTTAACAAGGATTAAACATTTGTATCTAATAATTAACATACTTGTGCTTTCAGTTGAGAATTTGAAATGTTTGAATTTCAAATGTTTTTTGAAATGTTTGATTTGAACATGGAAAAAATTAAAGTAGTTTTCTGTTAGTTTTGGAAAACTCAACTATCCCCAACTAAAAACTACTTTTAAGTTAGTTTAGAAAACCAGGTTCAAATGTCCCTAAAATTCTTTTTAAATCAACCAACATTGGTGACTTAGTGTGCAGAGTTTTGTAAAGTGAAAGGACATAGGGATGTAGGGATTCTCGGGCAGCCACTGGCGTGGTGATCAAATATGAGAGGGGCTATAGCCACCCCTGGTCACCACCAAGATCTATCCCTGCATTATTAGCCTCAGCAAAGCTTTTCATTGAAGACTCAAGTTTGACCCTGACGTGAGTTGAACACACAACCTTCTGATCTGGAGTCAGACGCCCTACCATTGCGCCACAAGGTCATTCTTGTCTTTGAGAGGTGGCACTCCATTGACAAAATTGTTAAGCATAGAAATGTCATCTTAAATTTTGTTTGATAACAGGATAAAAACAGGTTCAAATGTCCCCCATTAATGTATCTAAATTAACCAACATTGGTGTTGGCATTTAATTATTAATTGAATAAGTGTGCAGAGTTTTGTTCAGTGAAAGGACTGTGGGAATTCTTGGCAGGCCACTGGGGTGGTGATTGGGGTATCAAAGGGTCTATAGCCACCCGTGGTCACCACCAAGATCTGTCCCTGCATTATTCTTTTTATAATCTTCATAATTTTCCTCAGCAAAGCTTTTTGTTGAAGACTTAAATTTGACCCTGACGTGATTTGAACACGCAACCTTCTGATCTGGAGTCAGACGCGCTACCATTGCGCCACAAGGTCTTTGGTGCTGTCAAGAGGTGGCACTTCATCGAGACAATTGTAAAAGCACACAAAATATTAAGCACTGAAAAATGATCACTGAGCACACAGGTTTATTTAACAAGGATTAAACATTTGTATCTAATTATTAACATACTTGTGCTTTCAGTTGAGAATTTGAAATGTTTGAATTTCAAATGTTTTTTGAAATGTTTGATTTGAACATGGAAAAAATTAAAGTAGTTTTCTGTTAGTTTTGGAAAACTCAACTATCCCCAACTAAAAACTACTTTTAAGTTAGTTTAGAAAACCAGGTTCAAATGTCCCTAAAATTCTTTTTAAATCAACCAACATTGGTGACTTAGTGTGCAGAGTTTTGTAAAGTGAAAGGATGTAGGGATTCTTGGGCAGCCACTGGCATGGTTATCAAATATCAGAGGGGCTATAGCCACCCCTGGTCACCACCAAGATCTATCCCTGCATTATTAGCCTCAGCAAAGCTTTTCATTGAAGACTCAAGTTTGACCCTGACATGAGTTCAACACACAACCTTCTGATCTGGAGTCAGACACGCTACCATTGCGCCACAAGGTCATTCTTGTCTTTTAGAGGTGGCACTTCATTGAGAGAATTGTTAAAGCATAGAAAATGATAAGCACTTTAAAATGATCACTGAGCACACAGTTTTATTCAACAAGGATTTCTATCTTATATTGAACAAACTTGTGTTTTCATTAAAGAGTTTTTAATGTTTGAACCTGCTGAAATTTGTACTTGGATGAAATAAACGTAGTTCTTTGTACACAGCAAATTCAGAAGTGTTAATTCAACTCCTAGGGAGTTAAATTCAACACTTTAAAAGTGTCTATATTGGTCCACACTAAATCGAGTTAAAATAACACTTTTGAAAGTGTTAAACAATTAACACTTTGATAGAGTTGAAACAACACTCTCAATAGTTGAAATCTAACACTCACTGGTGTTTAATTTTTTCAACACCAGTGTTTAGTGTCAAAAAGTAACACTCACTGAGTTTTTTTCAACACTGAATAAGATTCAAATTATTGTAACACTATGGGAGTGTTAAATGTATTACTACTACTACTACTACTACTACTACTACTACTACTTATAATAATAGAAAATAAAGAAAGCCACACAAGTTACAGTTTGAAACAACATTTATTTTGAACAAGCACACCACAAAAAAAAAACAGCACTGGCTTTGCACTACAGGTCACACAATATGGCAATGTGGCACAATATATGTTTTGTCACACATCTCGTTAGAAAACTGTTTGTCATAGGGTCTGTGATAAATCAACTCCTTAATTGGGAGAACAGAAAATGAATCTTCTCTCTCATTGATGCAGTATGCATTGAAATGATCATCAAAATAAAGAGTGTCCACTCTGCAAGTTAAAATAAAAGCTTGCTCATCATGTATGATAATGTTTGTGACCTTTCTGAAAATAGGAACTTCCATATTAGTTCCAGTACATCCAGTATCCAAAATAATTTGGCCACCTGGTTTTGCCTGGAGAGCATCTCTCACCATCTAAAAGACAAAGAATAAGAAAGCAAATCAACAATTATAGCAACAAAACAACAACAAAACCCCAGTTCAACTGCATCTTTCTGTTTGAACTTTAAAAACCTCTTTTGTAGATTCCCTTTCAGCATGGGTTCTCTTCCCTCCATTTGTATGAACAATTACTGTTGCATCTGATGAATCAGACGACACAAGCAGGGAGTCTTTGGACACTGACGAAGATGTGTCTGAGAAGGGTGACTCCGACAAAGTGTTTGAAAGATCCTCTTGAAGCACAACTGTAAACAGATTTAGAAATGTATACACAAAAGGAAAAAAATAATTAGTTCTCAACAATTCTCATTATTGACAATCCACTCCTTACAAGTCTGAGTCTCACCTGTTGACTTCTCAGTTGACACCCTAACAGTAAGGTTCCCTGCTTGCAAAAGCTCCTCAAACACATCTGCATCGACTTCTGTCCCTGATTCATCTGTCAAGTGCAGCTCAGTCTCAAGTGGAAGATCTAGCAATGGTTAAAAAAATACAATAAGAACATTACCAGAAATGTGCTTAACTTGTTTTTTCAAAATTTTTGGTCAACTTTATAACAGTACTTTTTTTACTCTTCATAGGGTATTACCATTAGCTATCATAAACACAACTCCATAATATAAGATATTTGAATACTAGATAAATACAGCAAGTATTACAGCAATTAGTCAGTTTGCACAAATATTCTTGGTTGTATTGTTAACCTTTCTGAAGAAATGTATTGAAGTCATCATAGCCATCTTCAGTCTCAGCCACTTTGACATAACGTCTGCGTTTCTCTGAATCTCACCTTCACCAACATGATGTACTATGAAGAAAAAGAAAAAGAATACATCATCATTTACAGTATGTTCACTGTGAATGAGTAAAGACACAGGGACATTTTGCCTCGGATTACTCGCCGGATTTTGATCGTTGTAATTGTTCTGGGTTTTTTTTTTTGTCTCCCATAAAATTCCTCGCAAGTCACGCCAACCTGGACAACGGCAGCCAGCACGATATCACTAAGCTAACCCTGCCTGCTACCATGATGGCTAACTTAATGCTAACAACACCCACACTTGTCCATACACACAAATACGTGAGCAATTCTTCTTTGTACGTTTGGCAAAATATCATCTACTGAATGCATAACATGACAATGACGCTAACGTTCATATGCAGTTAGCGTTATAAAAACTCACACATTTCAGGCATCAGCAGCTGAGGGGTGTGCGACTCCGGTAACAGCTGCGGCTAATGATAGATTGAGAAAATAAAATTAAGATTAAACATTTAAAAAGAAAAGAAAAAAATGCCAACAGCTAGAGATAAATCAAAGTAAACTACTCCTGCTCGTAAAAAGCTCTAGGGTTTAGTGAAGAGATCGGTGTCGCGGCCCGGAAAGTCTACACCTGTATTCCTCTAGCAGCAACATAAATTAACTTTAGGCTAACGTTACTACCCGGAGCCACTCCGACTTTTAGCAGCTAACGTTTTCCATAGACAAACGGGAGCTCAACCACTCGGTCCAGCCCCAGCTCTCTACCCCATCGCTTTACATTTTGCCGTGTATCGTTAGCCGACACTGTCACTCACGAAGAATAAACTTTAGCTTAGCTATACACCTAACTCGAGTCCTTGCGCACGTGCTAACGTTACTTTGCTAGCTTGAAATATAACCGTGTAGCCTATAACGTTACTAACGATTAGCAAATTGTGTATAATTATCAACACCCATATCTCATGTACAAAATAAACATTAATGCACACTTTAAAATACAGCATTAGGCGACAACAACCACGCTAACCTTAACATTGGACTGAGCCTATCATGATGTCAGCTCATGTTACAGAGACGACTCAGCAAGATTTAATATCAACACATAAAACTTAACATTACTGCATAGAATATAAGATATTATCAAATGGCATGCTGCCCTTCATTTACTTACATAGAGATACTTGGTGAAGTCCTGAAGGCAGCAAAAAGAAACTCACCTACCATTTGCTGATCTGCTCCTGCCCCGCTCAGACTCCTTCTCAGACTGGGAGTTGTCCCGCTTTTAGGAAAAACACGTCACAGATCCGTTGGAGAAACTCTGTTAAGTGTTGATTTTAAGATCAACACTCAACAGAGTTCTTTGGATTTAACTCCCCGGATTAACACCAACTCTTTTGAGGGATTAACTCTTACATAGTTGAATTGAACTAAGCAAGTGTTGAATTAACACTGTATTCTTAACGTTTAACACCAACACTGGAAAATTAACACTTTTGAATTTGCTGTGTAGGTCTTTGAAAATTTTCATATACTCATCTTACAGAGAGGGAAAGGCCAGCTACAAGACCAAGATGGAAAACCTTTTGCAACAGAACAACGCAAGGGAGGTCTGGAGAGGCCTGAAATCCATCTCAGGTCATAGCAGGGGCCATGAGAGGGGACCTGAAGCAGGAGACAGGGAGTGGGCCAACGAGCTGAATCTGTTCTTTAATAGATTTGACTCTGCTCCCACTCCTCCCCACTCATCTAACCAACGACCCGTCTGCTGCTCCTCCTTCTTCTTATTCACACCACCTCAGTCCCATAGCACCGACACCATCAACCCCCCTCCACTCATCCTCCACCACCCCCTCCAGCACCACCCCCAGCCTCTCCATAACAGCTGACCAGGTGAGAAGTGAGCTGAGGAAGATGAAGCCAAGGAAAGCCACGGGTCCTGATGGCATCAGCCCCAGACTCCTGAAAGACTGTGCAGACCAGCTCTGTGAGGTGCTACTGCACATCTTCAGCTTGAGCCTGAGTCTGGAGAGGGTCCCAACACTGTGGAAGACTTCCTGCGTGATTCCTGTCCCCAAGACAGCGCACCCCAGGGAGCCCAACCACTTCAGACCTGTGGCCCTCACTTCTCACCTGATGAAGACTCTGGAGAGGATCGTGCTGAGGAACCTCCGCCCCCTGGTGAGCTCTCATCTGGATCCTCTGCAGTTTGCATACCAGCCAAACATCGGGGTGGATGACGCAGTCATCTACCTGCTGCAGAGGTCCATGGCTCACCTGGAGAACACTGGCAGCACTGTGAGGGTCATGTTTTTTGACTTCTCCAGTGCGTTCAACACCATCCAGCCTTCACTGCTCAGGGGGAAGCTCGAGCGGGCGGGAGTGGACTGTCACCTAGCTGCATGGACCGTGGACTGCCTCACCGACAGACCACAGTTTGTGAGGCTTCAGAACTGTGTATCGGACATGGTGGTCTGCAGCACAGGGGCTCCACAGTGGACAGTGCTCTCCCCCTTCCTCTTCACCCTGTACATCTCTGACTTCAGCTACAACTCTGGGAGCTGTCACCTTCAGAAGTTCTCTGATGACACAGCCATCGTCGGATGTGTATCGTCAGGGGATGAGCGGGAATACAGGACTGTCATCACTGACTTTGTCAACTGGTGTGGCACAAACCACCTCCAGCTCAACGCCAGTAAGACAAAGGAGATGGTTGTGGATTTCCGCAGGAGGGGGACACCTCAAACAGTTCCAGTGAACATACAGGGTCTGGACATCGAGATGGTGGAGTCCTACAGATTCCTGGGTGTCCACCTCAACAACAAACTGGACTGGTCAACAAACACAGACGTTCTGTACAAGAAGGGCCAAAGTCGTCTCCACCTGCTGAGGAGACTGAGGTCCTTTGGAGTGTGCAGGACTCTGCTCAGGACTTTCTATGACTCTGTGGTAGCATCTGCACTTTTCTATGCAGTGGTCTGCTGGGGGGCAGGGAGCACCGAGAGGGACAGGAAGAGACTGAATAGACTGGTCAGGAGGGCCGGTTCTGTCCTGGACTGCTCTTTGGACTCCCTGGAGGAGGTGGGTGAGAGGAGGATGTTAACAAAGCTTGTATCCATCATGGACAATCCCTCTCACCCACTGCACCAGACTGTGGGGGCTTTAGGCAGCTCCTTCAGCAGCAGACTGAGACTCCCACCCTGCAGGACGGAGCGCTACTGCAGATCATTCCTCCCCTCTGCAATAAGACTTTACAATGAACAGTAACAAAACTGATTTTACACCACCACTTTTTTTATGGCATTTAAATTGTGTATATTGTAGAAAGCTTTATTTTTTCTTCTCCCTTTTCTAATTTTTTTTTCTTAATTATTACATTTATTTAAGTTCTTAATATTAGGACCCTTATTGTTATAACTGCATTTTTGCACTTTTTGTCTTGTCTGTGATGCTGCTATGACAAAAAAAATTCCCCCATGGGGGATCAATAAAGGACTATTCTATTCTATTCTATTCTACAAAGGATTTTAAGTGTGCAAAATCTGGAATTAAGTCTTAAATGTTGTTTGATTACAGGATGAAATCAGGCTCAAATGTCCGCCATTTTAAATCTTCCAACATTGGTGTTGGCATTAAATTAGTATGTCACCCACTGTGCACAGTTTTGTACAGTGAAAGCATTGTAGGGATTCTAAGGAGGGCACTGGGGTGGTCATTCAACTATTTAGGGGGCTATAGACACCCCTGGTCACCACCAAGATTTGTCCCTGCATTATTAGCCTCAGCAAAGCTTTTGATTGAAGACTAAAGTTTGACCCTGACGTGAGTTGAACACGCAACCTTCTGATCTGGAGTCAGACGCGCTACCATTGCGCCACAAGGTCAGTCTTGTCCTTGAGAGATGGCACTTCATTGAGAAAATTGTTAAGCATAGAAATGTCATCTTAAATTTTGTTTGATAACAGGATGAAAACAGGTTTAAATGTCCCCCATTAATGTATCTATATTAACCAACATTGGTGTTAGCATTTAATTATTAATTGAATAAGTGTGCAGAGTATTGTTCAGTGAAAGGACTGTAGGAATTCTTGGCAGGCCACTGGGGTGGTGATTCAGATATCAGAGGGGCTATAGCCACCCCTGTTTACCACCAAGATGTGTCCCTGCATTACTCTTTCTATAATCTTCATAATTTGCCTGAGCAAAGCTTTTCATTGAAGACTCAAGTTTGACCCTGACGTGAGTTGAACACGCAACCTTCTGATCTGGAGTCAGACGCGCTACCATTGCGCCACAAGGTCATTCTTGTCTTTAAGAGGTGGCACTTCATTGAGAGAATTGTTAAAGCATAGAAACTGATAAGCACTAAAAAATGATCACTGAGCACACAGTTTTATTCAACAAGGATTTCTATCTAATATTGAACAAACTTGTGTTTTCATTAAAGAGTTTTTAATGTTTGAACCTGCTGAAATTTGTACCTGGATGAAATAAACGTAGTTCTTTGTCAGTCTTTGAAAATTTTCATATACTCATCTTACAAAGGATTTTAAGTGTGCAAAATCTGGAATTTAGTCTAAAATGTTGTTTGATTACAGGATGAAATCAGGTTCAAATGTCCGCCATTTTAAATCTTCCAACATTGGTGTTGGCATTAAATTAGTATGTCACCGACTGTGCACAGTTTCGTACAGTGAAAGCATTGTAGGGATTCAAAGGAGGGCACTGGGATGGTCATTCAACTATTAAGGGGGCTATAGACACCCCTGGTCACCACCAAGACTTGTCCCTGAATTATTAGCCTCAGCAAAGCTTTTCATCGAAGACTAAAGTTTGACCCTGACGTGATTTGAACACGCAACCTTCTGATCTGGAGTCAGACGCGCTACCATTGCGGCACAAGGTCTTTGGTGCTGTCAAGAGGTGGCACTTCATCGAGAAAATTGGAAAAGCACACAAAATATTAAGCACTGAAAAATGATCACTGAGCACACAGGTTTATTTAACAAGGATTAAACATTTGTATCTAATAATTAACATACTTGTGCTTTCAGTTGAGAATTTGAAATGTTTGAATTTCAAATGTTTTTTGAAATGTTTGATTTGAACATGGAAAAAATTAAAGCAGTTTTCTGTTAGTTTTGGAAAACTCAACTATCCCCAACTAAAAACTACTTTTAAGTTAGTTTAGAAAACCAGGTTCAAATGTCCCTAAAATTCTTTTTAAATCGAGCAACATTGGTGACTTAGTGTGCAGAGTTTTGTAAAGTGAAAGGATGTAGGGATTCTTGGGCAGCCACTGGCATGGTTATCAAATATCAGAGGGGCTATAGCCAACCCTGGTCAGCACCAAGATCTGTCCTTGCATTATTAGCCTGAGCAAAGCTTTTCATTGAAGACTCAAGTTTGACCCTGACGTGAGTTGAACACGCAACCTTCTGATCTGGAGTCAGACGCGCTACCATTGCGCCACAAGGTCATTCCTGTCTCTCTAGTGGCACTTTGAGAAAATTGTAAAAGCACAGAAAATGATAAGCATTGAACAATGATCACTGAGCCCACAGTTTTATTTAACAAGGATTAAACATTTGTATCTAATAATTAACATACTTGTGACTTCATTAAAGAGAATTTTAAGTATTTGAACCTGCTGTGATTTGAACCTGGAAAAAATTAAAGAAGTTTTCTGTTAGTTTTGGAAAACTCTCCTATCCCCAACTTTAAACTACTTTAAGTGTGCAAATTTCTTAAATTTTGTTTGATGACAGGATGAAATCATGTTCAAATGTCCCCATTAATTAATTTTAAATCAACCAACATTGGTGTTGGCATTGATTTTTAAGTGACTTAGTGTGCCGAGTTTTGAAAAGTCAAAGGATGTAGGGATGTAGGGATTCTTGGGCAGCCACTGGCGTGGTTATCAAATATCAGAGGGGCTATAGCCACCCCTGGTCACCACCAAGATCTGTCCTTGCATTATTAGCCTCAGCAAAGCTTTTCATTGAAGACTCAAGTTTGACCCTGACATGAGTTGAACACGCAACCTTCTGATGTGGAGTCAGACGCGCTACCATTGCGCCACAAGGTCATTCTTGTCTTTTAGAGGTGGCACTCCACTGAAAAAAATTGTTAAAGCATAGAAAATGATAAGCACTTAAAAATGATCACTGAGCACACAGTTTTATTTAACAAGGATGTCTATCTAATATTTCACATGCCTTCATTTGAGAGTTGTAATTGTATAGACCTGCTGTGATTTGTACCTGGATAAAATAATCACAGTACTTTGTCAGTTTCGAAAAACTCACCTATCCTCAACTTTAAACTACTTTTGCTTCACTTGTAAGATCTACTTGCGCACTAGTAGACCAAAATGGAGTACATGTAAGCTTAAAATGAGTACTAGTAGGGCTAAACTATGGTTGATATCACTGATATCGAATTTATGCTCAAACTCCCTGGCTGTATGTCTGTGGCCATGTTTCTCCCAGCTGTTGGAAAACAGCGCGACAAAATCAGTGGGTTAGCTTACAAAAGGGACAACACAATGGCTTTTCCGGTAGCATGATGCTGTTTACCGTAACTCTTAGAAAGCAGGTGCAAGTTTGGTTGATGTCCGGGTTTGCTACTTCTTTGACTCAGTTACAAACAAACGAGGAAGGAAAGTTTTGGAAGATACTGTTTATAGTAATAGATATTTTAAATTTAAGGTATACACAACTTAGCCTACTCCATGCACCATGCAGCTGTAAATATGATTTAGTTGTTACTGAAGCAGTCATGGTTAGCAGAGTTCAACAGTCGTAAATTGATGATTTACAGGACGATTTTAGTTAACCATTTTGTAAATAACTGGAGCTTTTTTTTCATTTCTGATTAATGTATTTTTACCTTTTTTTAACCAAGTGATTTTTCTAAAAATATATTTTAGCAACTTCTCAGAGCCAAAAGAGGCACATTTATTTTGGTTGTCTTGACCCAGCAATGTTGCAAATATACAAATAAATGACAACAACTTTTAAGAACTATAAGTAAGATGCAGATCACAAGATTTGAGAAGATTGGGGCTGTTTTACAAAATAAAAGCTTAATACATTTTTCTGCAAAGCATACAAAGTTGTTGAATGAATATAGCTGAGATTAAAATACTTATTTTACCAGCAGGTACCTCAGGAACAATAAAATGCACAATCTGGTTGAGTGAAATAATTATACAAGTTGTCTAGATATCAACATTTTTGAGTTAAAAATGTTTTCTATTTCATCAAAACTAACTGTTTTGGTGCAACCTTTTCCTCTGAGCCCTCAGATCATTCTTTGAACAACATAAAAAAAGAACGGCTGCATTATTAAAAGGCCAAACAAAAACAGAGTATCATCGTTACCTACTTCAACTTTTCAGTGGATTTAAAACTTTTATTAAATAAGTGTCTTCTCAGTATAAATACATACAGATACACTAAATCATGTTCTCATATGCTCTCACATATATTAACCTTGTACTATGTTTTATGTCACACCTCAAAAGGTTTGTGCACCTTAGAATAAACAGAATAAATAAAAACAAGTGACAACAAAAAAATATTTTTCTTGATCCCTCCTTTCATATTTTCTGAGGATCATTTACTTCATCACTCCACAGACAGCATTTCTTCACAAGTCTCTTATTCAGTATTTTTTAATACACATCAGCTAGAGGTACAAGTATTTGTGCTCAAAACACTTCAACAAATGAGTAAAGTAAACATAGCTTATAGCAAACATAAAATGTATAACAAAACTGTAATAATCACGAGTCTTTGAGTTGAGACTCAATCTGATGTCCCTCTACTCTCTGACTGAAGTCAATTCAACACTAAACTAAGACTTTCTCATCACAGTACATCAACCATCCACCTGTTTTTGGTCTTTTCAGCCTTTAGGAGTCAGCCTCAACCTTGACTCCTTCATCTGCCCCCACCTCACTGTTGTCATTTGTTTTTCCTTCTTCAGCAGCTCCCTCAGTCTCTGTATCCTCTCTCGGTGATTCCTCTTGGCTCTCCCTCGTCCCATTCTCAGCAGACTCCCCCTCCTCCACAGCCCCTGCTGCATCTTCCCCTTTATCACCTTCACCTTCCTCCGTCTTCTCCTTTTCTTTTTCCTTCCTCTCTTTCTCTATTTTGGAGAGGTTGTGGCAGAGGGACTGGACATATGTGAAAACACACATGGGGTCAGGGTTATTACCCATCATGATCATGTCCTCCACTTCCAGCAGGGGACAGCAGTCAGCCAAGGACCTACCAGGAAGACGGGAAAAACAGACACAATTAAGGAGAGAGAGACATTATTCAAACCTCAGTGAGAGCTTATTTATCTTTTATGTGCAAAGCAGAAATATATCCTGCAAAATTTAGTGAAATCTTCAATGAGCAGCAGCCATCAGTGGGTACAAAACTTTGAAAAATTTGGTGTACAGTTTCATTCCTCCTTTGATCAATGAGTAAAAGCATTGAGGTTTTTTTGATTTGTTACACTTAAATATCAATAAAAGAGCAAATGAAACAAGACAGCAAAGATTGAGGTCAAACAGTTAACGGATGGTCCAAAGTCAAGTGTAGCATAAAATTCAGGTCAAATCCAGGACACAAAATGTCCTGTTTCTTCATCAAACAGCTCAATACTTAGTGTAATTCCAGGCGCTCTTTTGCTTCTGTCACAGTAACCTTGTGCTTGATTGTTGTTAGAGTCTATTGTTTAGACTGTAAAAGGAATAATAAAACTGTCTTTACTCTGCAGTTTGGAAGGCCAGAGTGAAGTTTTTCTCCCTCTCCTTTGGACTCAGGGAGCTGAAGTCAAAAGCATCAGGAAAGAAGCGATGGATCAGAGCACAGAACGCCAGACCATCACACCAAGACGATGAAAAGTTCTCGATGTTCACCCCCTGCAGTGCAAAAGGACAGGAAGATGTGACATAAAAGGGTGATAGAGAAAGTACATCCAAACCGAGATGAATTTTCTTGTAGTTCTCTGTCAAAAACTATGATCACCTCATATTTGCGAGTCTTGTTGCGGCACCATTGAAGCATCTTCTGTTTGATCGAAGCTCCTGTCGCTGCAGCTGAAGATGACTTCTGAATTTTAAAATTGCGTGGTATTGGTGTCCTGAAAATGTCACAATTTTACTCAATGAACCTTTATCAGACTAAACCTCACCATCATTATTCTCATGTTTTAAGAGTATTTCTGAAATGACTTACTCTGGAGCCCCCTGCTGAAACTTAGCGATGATGTCGTTTTTAGCAGCTGCTCTGATGGAGCGGGCAGAGGGTCTCGGTCTGGAGAGAGCAGATGGAGAAGGACCACTCTTTCTTTTGGGCTTTCCTTGCTACTCCACTTCTTTAGTCTGTCCTTTGTCTTTTGTGTCCACATTTGCATCCTTGGCTTTCTTGTCCTTCTCCTCCTCTTTTGCACCTTTTTCTTTCACACCCTTTTCTACTTCTGGTCCTTGTGCTTCTTTCTCTGTCTTTTCCTCTGTTTTCCTCTTCTTTTCCTCTTTGGTTTTGTCCGTCATCTCCTCTCCTTTCTCACCAGTCTCACTACTCTTGACCTCCTCCACCTGCCCACCTTTGTCATCTTCCTTACTCTCCCCCTCCCCCTCTTTTTCTCTGCTCATCACCTCAGGATCCTTCCTGTCTTTATCTTTCGTGTCTTTATCTCGTCCAGCCTCTTCTTTGTCACCTTCATCCTGCTTGTCTGTCTCTGCAGCTTGGGCTTCATCTTTTGTCTTATCTGGCTCTGAAGCCTCGTCCACCACTACCTCCTGACCTTCCACAGTGTCCTTTGCTGCTGGCTCCTCCCCCTGATCTTTGCCCTCCTCCAGCTTGGGTTCATCTGTCTGGAGTGTAAGAATGTAAAATAGACTTTATTCAAGTGTCAAAAATACATCTACAAAAGTAACCTGATCAGGTAATGCTTACATTTACTCACTGATTTCTAACGTGTACATCTATTGACAAACAAACCTTTACTTACATGCATCTTTTCTTTCTTGATTTTCAGTGTTCTACTAAATCATGTTTAAACCACTTTACCCTGTAACTGTGAAAGGGATGTTCTTTAATACTCATTTATTCCTGGCGTTGTACAAATAAACTTGGTTTGTTTGGTTGAAAATGTTGGCCTTACGGAGACCATAACTAAACTTCTCCACATCACCTCTCCAGTAATCTTTGTGTCACAGGCAAATTAAAGGGCAGCACAGCTGTAACTCAAAACAATGTAAAAAAATAAGGAAGAAAGTTTGCTCAGACCACAAACACTCATTTAACCTCTCATTTGTACACACATTCACAACAGTTTGATTTAATTGTCTTGGAGATATGGAGGAGGTTTTATCCACTGGGACATTCTCTGAATGCTTCTGTTCCCTACACAATACTGACAATAAACATCATGAATCATCTGAATGAAAGTGTTTGAAGGACTTGTATGAATGAAAACTCTATATGCTCTTATCACTCTGCGTCTTTCACTGCAGAGATTCATGTTAGTTTCTGCTTTACCTACATTAACACGGTGAAGATGGATCTGTTGAGATAGTATTTGAAGAGCGTTGCTTTAATTTGTAGGATAGCATGATGTAATTTGTTCCAAATTTAGGGTCCTCTCTCTTCTTTAGGGGTGACACAGTCCCTGAACGTAATAAGCAGAGTGTAATGCGAAACCCCCAGCTCAGTGGGATTTGTTGAGTATCTCAATCATTTGAATGTAGTCAAGAGGTCAAACGTTGGATGGAAAATTTGCCCTTTTCATTTTAAAACAAAGCCCTGAACACTGGTCAATTTTATTCTGAAGAAAACATCCGAGAGCTGACTGAACAAAAATCTCTTCAGGTCTATAATTTAACATCATACAGAAAGATTTCTTGAACCACAAGCTCTTCATCTGAGAGGAACATAGTGTTGTTGTTAGTTTGAGGGTCAAATCTGTTGTGAAACTTTTCTAAAATTAAAATTTCAGATCTAATCCAGACAAAACATTTCAGTAAATTACAGAGATTAATCAATTTAGATTAATAATTCTTCTTCTGTCCAATGGAATAAATCAGTATTTGGACATGCAACAGGAACAGTCACATCAGGTCAGGTCTTACAGTGGTGACTCATCAGAAAGAAAAAGAAACTCACTGTGAGTGTGTGCGTGTGTGTGTCTGTGTGTGCAGAGCTCATGTGTCTCTATGTCTAATACTCTTAAACTAGCAGCACAAACAGGTGTCACACAACCTCTCCTTTCATGCTGCCCAAACACAACACCTGCTACAGTTGCAAATACACTCAGTGTCTATTCTTGGTATCGATAGTCGAACCAGCCATTGTTAGTTTAACATATGACAAAGTTTTTTTTCTTTTTTTTGGTCATATGTAAAGTAAAATATAAAACACAAACCTGGTTGTTGTTGTTGTTGGTGTCAGTCTGACTAGCACTTTCTGTGGACCCAGAAAGCTCCTGACTGGTTGATTCCTTATCCACGTTCAGAATTGTCAATGAATCCACTAAGTTGGAGGCCAGATTAGCCTTTCTCAATGAAACAGTGGCCCAGGACTCTCCTGTGAACTCCTCAACCTTCCCTGTAAAAGTTTCATTTAGTAAAAAAAGAGATCATCTTCTCTGCTCAGAGGCTCACTGTCTTCTTGCTTTTAACCACTCCACTTTGTGTCCTGTCCCTGTCTCCCTGTCTGCTCGTCTCTGTCAGCACTCCCTCGTGTCTAAGATGTGTGTGTTGGTTTGTGGATATCCGCCTTCACCCCTGCTCACCCAACATCCCCACCCTCTAGTTTGTGAGGATTCCTATGCTTCTTTATCTGACCTTTCGAACAACACATGGTCTGTAAATAAACTCACAGTGACATACGCATGGACCTGCGAGCCAGACAGCTGCGTCTGTTGTGGAAACTGTAGCTGTACACAAACAAGAAACATGGATGGTTGCAGCCAATCCAAAAAAATCAATCAAAAGAAATGAAAGTAGCTCTTTGTCAGTTTTGGAAAACTCACCAATCCTCGAGTTGCAAATGACTTTAAGTGTGCAAAATCCAGAATTTTGTCTTGAATTTTGTTTTAAACAGGATGAAATCAGGTGATTCAGATATCAGAGGGGCTATAGCCACCCCTGGTCACCACCAAGATCTGTCCCTGCATTATTCTTTTTATAATCTTCATAATTTGCCTCAGCAAAGCTTTTTGTTGAAGACTTAAATTTGACCCTGATGTGATTTGAACACGCAACCTTCTGATCTGGAGTCAGACACGCTACCATTGCGCCAAAAGGTCATTCATGTCTTTGAGTGGTGGCACTTTGTTGAAAAAATTGTTAAAGCATAGAAAATGATAGAGACCGAGTAATGTAAGAAGTACTGTAAGACGTTCCTCATATGAAGTCCTGTCATTCCAAGGTCGCTGGTTCAACTCCCGCTCAAAGCACCTGCATTCTATTGGTGTGAGCAATGTTCTGGGTCTAATCACATTGAAATAATGCCAAGCCTTGTCTTCATCTTTCAGCTCCTCCAAAATGTAAAAACACAAACAAGATAACACCTAGTTAATTTTCCAACTACAATTTTGTATTCACCCAGCCTAAAAGTCCTGATTACCAGTTCTGGGTCCCTGGCAATGACTGTTGGGTACAAACTGCAAAGCTTTGTTCTGCAGGTAGGGCTGTGCTTTTCATTGACCATGTGGGTGGATTAGTTGTGTGGACAAAGTGTGTCGTCACAGCTACTATGTGTTCTGCAATTGTGAATATAGAGCACCTTGATAGCTCAGTTGGTAGGGCACAGGACTGTAAGAAGTTCCTCATGTTAAGTACTGTCATTCCAAGGTTGCTGGTTCAACTCCTGCTAGAAGCACCTACATTTAATTGGTGTGAGCAATGTTCTGGGTCTAATCACATTGAAATAATGCCAAGCCTTGTCTTCATCTTTCAGCTCCTCCAAAATGTAAAAACACAAACAAGATAACACCTAGTTAATTTTCCAACTTTCATTTTGTATTCACCCAGCCTAAAAGTCCTGATTACCAGTTCTGGGCCCCTGGCAATGACTGTTGGGTACAAACTGCAAAGCTTTGTTCTGCAGGTAGGGCTGTGCTTTTCATTGACCATGTGGGTGGATTAGTTGTGTGGGCAAAGTGTGTCGTCACAGCTACTATGTGTTCTGCAACTGTGAATATAGAGCACCTTGATAGCTCAGTTGGTAAAGCACAGTACTTTAAGAACTTCCTCATGTAAGTACTGTCATTCCAAGGTTTCTGGTTCAACTCCTGCTAGAAGCACCTACATTTAATTGGTGTGAGCAATGTTCTGGGTCTAATCACATTGAAATAATGCCAAGCCTTGTCTTCATCTTTCAGCTCCTCCAAAATGTAAAAACGCAAACAAGATAACACCTAGTTAATTTTCCAACTTTCATTTTGTATTCACCCAGCCTAAAAGTCCTGATTACCAGTTCTGGGTCCCTGGCAATGACTGTTGGGTACAAACTGCAAAGCTTTGTTCTGCAGGTAGGGCTGTGCTTTTCATTGACCATGTGGGTGGATTAGTTGTGTGGGCAAAGTGTGTCGTCACAGCTACTATGTGTTCTGCAATTGTGAATATAGAGCACCTTGGTAGCTCAGTTGGTAGAGCAGACGACTGTAAGAAACTCCTCATGTGAAGTGCTGTCATTCCAATGTCGCTGGTTCAACCCCTGCTAGAAGCACTTACATTCTAATGGTGTGAGCAATGTTCTGCGTCTAATCACATTGAAATAATGCCAAGCCTTGTCTTCATCTTTCAGCTCCTCCAAATTTTAAAAACACAAACAAGAAAGCTCCTACTTTATTTTTCCAACTTTCATTTTGTAGTCACCCAGCCTTAAAGTCCTGATTACCAGTTCTGGGTCCCTGGCAATGACTGTTGGGTACAAACTGCAAAGCTTTGTTCTGCAGGTAGGGCTGTGCTTTTCATTGACCATGTGGGCGGATTAGTTGTGTGGGCAAAGTGTGTCGTCACAGCCACTATGTGTTCTGCAATTGTGAATTTGGAGCACCTTGATAGCTCAGTTGGTAGAGAAGAGGACTGTAAGAAGTTCCTCATGTCAAGTACTCTCATTCCAAGGTTGCTGGTTCAACTCCCACCAGAAGCACCTACTTTTTATTGACCATGTAGTTTAAATTTTTGTGTTGGCAAAGTGTGTCGTCTCAGCCACTATGTTTTCAGCGGTTGTGTCAATAAGCGCCTTCATAGCTCAGTTGGTAGAGCAGAGGACTGTAACAAGTTCCTCGTATGAAACACTATGATGTGAACATCGCTGGTTCAACTCCAGCTAAAAACACCGGATTTCATTGCTGGATGCACTTTTCATTGACCATGTAGCTTTAATTGTTGTGTTGGCAAAGTGTGTCGTCTCAGCCACTATGTTTTCGGCGGTTGTGTCTATAAGCACCGTCATAGCTCAGTTGGTAGAGCAGAGGACTGTAAGAAGGTATTGAACGGCTGTGGTCCAAAGGTCGCTTGTTCAACTCCAGCTCCAAACACCAGATTTGATTGGTGTATGCACTGTTCAACCTTTTTCATTGACCATGTGGGTCCAATAGTTATGTTGGCAACGTGTGTCGTCTCAGCCGCTATGTTTTCTGCGGTTGTATCTATAAGCACCTTCATAGCTCAGTTGGTAGAGCAGAGGACTGTAAGAATGTATTGAAACGCTGTGGTCCAAAGTTCGCTGGTTCAACTCCAGCTCCAAACCTCAGATTTCATTGGTTTATGCACTGTTCAACCTTTTTCATTGACCATGTGGGTCCAATAGTTATGTTGGCAAAGTGTGTCGTCTCAGCTACTATGTTTTCTACGGTCGTGTCTATAAGCACCTTCATAGCTCAGTTGGTAGAGCAGAGGACTGTAAGAAGTTATTGAAGCGCTGTCGTCCAAAGGTCGCTGGTTCAACTCCAGCTCCAAACACCAGATTTCATTCGTGTATATACTGTTGAACCTTTTTCATTGACCATGTGGGTCCAATAGTAATGTTGGCAAAGTGTGTCGTCTCAGCTACTATGTTTTCTACGGTTGTGTCTATAAGCACCTTCATAGCTCAGTTGGTAGAGCAGAAGTCTGTAAGATTTTATTGAAACGCTGTGGTCCAAAGGTCGCTGGTTCAACTTCAGCTCCAAACACCAGATTTCATTGGTGTATGCACTGTTCAACCTTTTTTATTGACCATGTAGCTGTAATTGTTTTGTTGGCAAAGTGTGTCGTCTCAGCCACAATGTTTTCTGCAGTTGTGTTTATAAGCACCTTCATAGCTCAGTTGGTAGAGCAGAGCACTGTAAGAAGGTATTGAAACGCTCTCGTCCAAAGGTCGCTGGTTCAACTCCAACTCCGGCTCCAAACACCAGATTTCATTGGTGTATGCACTGTTCAACCTTTTTCATTGACCATGTGGTTCCAATAGTTATGTTGGCAAAGTGTGTCGTCTCAGCCACTATGTTTTCTGCAGTTGTGTCTATAAGCACCTTCATAGCTCAGTTGGTAGAGCAGAGGTCTGTAAGATGTTATTGAAACGCTGTGGTCCAAAGGTCACTGGTTCAACTTCAGCTCCAAACACCAGATTTCATTGGTGTATGCACTGTTCAACCTTTTTCATTGACCATGTGGGTCCAATTGTATTGTTGGCAAAGTGTGTCGCCGAAGCCACTATGTTTTCTGCGTTTGTGTATTTAAGCACCTTCATAGCTCAGTTGGTAGAGCAGAGGAATGTAAGAACTTCCTGAAACGCTATGGTCCAAAGGTCGCTGGTTCAACTCCTGCTCCAAACACCAGATTTCATTGGTCTATGCACTGTTCAACCTTTTTCATTGACCATGTGGGTCCAATTGTATTGTTGGCAAAGTGTGTCGCTGAAGCCACTATGTTTTCTGCGTTTGTGTCTATAAGCACCTTCATAGCTCAGTTGGTAGAGCAGATGACTTTAAGAAGTTCAAGAAACGGTTTGGTCCAAAGGTCGCTGGTTCAACTCCAGCTCCAAGCACCAGATTTCATTGCTGTATGCACTGTTCAACCTTTTTCATTGACCAGGTGGCTTGATTGTTGTGTTGGCAAAGTGAATCGCCGAAGCCACTATGTTTTCTGCGTTTTGATCTATAAGCACCTTCATAGCTCAGTTGGTAGAGCAGAGGACTGTAAGAAGTTCCTGAAACGCTTTGGTCCAAAGGTCGCTGGTTCAACTTCTGCTCCAAACACCAGATTTCATTGCTGTATGCACTGTTCAACCTTTTTCATTGACCAGGTGGCTTGATTGTTGTGTTGGCAAAGTGTGTCGCCGAAGCCACTATGTTTTCTGCGTTTGTGTCTATAAGCACCTTCATAGCTCAGTTGGTAGAGCACATCACTTTAAGAAGTTCCTAAAACGCTGTGGTCCAAAGGTCGCTTGTTCAACTCCAGCTCCAAACACCAGATTTCATTGGTCTATGCACTGTTCAACCTTTTTCATTGACCATGTGGGTCCAATTGTATTGTTGGCAAAGTGTGTCGCCGAAGCCACTATGTTTTCTGCGTTTTATATATAAGCACCTTCATAGCTCAGTTGGTAGAGCAGAGGACTGTAAGAAGTTCCTGAAACGCTGTGGTCCAAAGGTCGCTTGTTCAACTCCAGCTCCAAACACCAGATTTCATTGTTATTTGCCCTGTCCAACCTTTTTCATTGACCATGTGTCTCCAATTGTATTGTTGGCAAAGTGTGTCGCCGAAGCCACTATGTTTTCTGCGTTTTATCTATAAGCACCTTCATA